CAATTATCGTCCGGTAAGCCTAACTTCAATTTGCTGAGACATCGTTAAAGGACTAATTTAGCCACAACTAATACAGTTCCTGGAAAATACATACCAAATTTCAAGTGTCCAACACGGTTTCCATAGCGGTAGGTCCTGCGTGACCAATTTGCTATACTTTTTAGAATATTGGTCGCGGGCAGTCGATAGAGAGGATACGGTGCATGCAGCCCATATCGACTTAAAATAGGCTTTTGATTGCCGGTCACTCTATCACCTTTGTTGTAAACTCAGTCGCATAGGAGTAAGGTGTAGGCTTCTGGTGTGGATAGAAAACTTCCTAATCGGCCACACACAACCCGTCCATATCATCGACAAAAAGTCGGCAAAGATTGCAGTTGAGAGTGATGTTCCTCAAGGCTCCACTCTCGGCCCTATTTCGTTCGTTGTTTAAATCAACGATTGTGTTAGCCACTTCGATTGTGCTATCGGCATGCTTACCGATGACATGAAACTTTGGCGCGCCATTCGAACTGCGGCTGTCGAAGAGAACTAGCAGGTAAATTTAAATCGGCTCCAAAAATGTTCAAAGTACTCAGAGCAAGTGCAGCACCATACGAGTTGGCAAAATCAATCCTTCAAACCGTACGGTCTACCGACTAAATGGCATAACACTGGAAGCAGTGGACACCCAGAAGGACTTGAGAGTCCAGATCACGCCCTCACTTAAACTCTCCTTGCCTTGCGCAAAGTTGGCCAAGTCTGCGATGTCGTTTCTGTACCTCGTCAAACGAGTCTTTTTCGCCTTCAGTTACGACTGCTTCACAAAAGTCTTTGGAACCTTCGTGCGGCTGCAACTGGAGTCCGCTGTGCAAGCTTGGAGACCCTGATCGGTGAAATAAATTAACATCCTCGAAAGGGCTCAAAAGTGTACCTGGCTCCTTGCCAATACAAGAGAACATGCGAGTTCCAGGAAGTAATTGAGAAGGAGACGACTCGATCGCTAATGGCAGACTTCTCAAGACGCGAATTGCAGAACACGCGGCAGCAGTCCGGTGAAATGATCCAAATCTCAAGTTGTGGCTCATTCGACGAGACCCAGCCACACATTCAAATTTTATGAGGCCGAAGTTCTCGCAAGAATTGAGAATCGTGTGAGCCGAGAAGTACTTGAGTCAGGGTTCACGAGTGCCCAATCCATAAACAAGTAAAACGATTTTCCCTATCCATATCCGGTGCTGAGACTCAATTTGGCCAAAGCAAGTTGCCCCTTGGGGAACGGACAGGCCGCCGTGTCATCCTACGCCAAAACCGGAGGGTCAGACGTCCGAGCAATCATCACGCCCGAGTCCACCACGCGTAATGAATATTCAGCGTGTCAGCTCCCGCATGCCGTTAAACAGACTGTCAACACACAAGAAGCCAATTATCGTTAATTGTCGTTGTATGTTTGCAGTAATGACTGTCCTATAAATACTGCAAACTTCTATGCATATGCTACCCGTATCTAACACTGCTCCCTGATTATGTCTCTGATAACGAATCCACGACGGACCTCGAAACGTCAGGCGAATAAAAGTATTGTCCAAGCGATCGAGTTGTCTACTTCTCAAAATTGTCATTCCATAGGGCTCACAGTCTTATGAAACATGGCTATCAAATATTAATCTCTCTTTAGACAGTCTATAGAAAGTTTCGAGGGGACCGCGGTCTTCCCTACTTGACAGTCTGCATACCGAGATGGCCCCGTCGGCGATCGCATCAACCGAACCCGGCGGTCATATTCCATGCGGCCCCTAAACGGTCTTCCTTTGTTCGATCCGCAGCGGACAAGGAGCGATCTGGGCGGATATTTTCGTTTTTCCAACCTTGTTTGTGGATTTTGCAATCAGCAAGGGAGTATCAGGCCGCATCTTTCGCACTTCGTTGATGATGGCGTGAACTCTACAATGCCCCCACCGCGCTGGACCCTCCCCATATAACAAAACTTTTATCTCCTTTACAATCCCAAGGCGTTTCTTTTACTGTTTTCTCCTTTTTATAACTATCTTCCAACCCATAGCTCATGTCAATTGGCCTCGCGAACAAACTATTTTTCTGATGCCACAGCACACTTGTACAAAGAGGGAACTCAAATTCAACCCACCTACGTTTACCTCAAATATACTGATACTGATATCATATGCGATCTATTCCTTAACATGCTATGTTCTGTCGACGGGCTTAACATATCTGTCTATTCAAAAAAGGCAATTTATACAACCAGTTTTCTGATATTTATTCAAATCCTAGAGGGCTTTCTTTGATGAAGTTAAGGTGTTCATTCAATTTAGGCTCCGTATGCGTCTCCCCCATCAACAAGCATTCTTATCCTGACATCATAGTTCAATAAAAATCCCTCGAAAAATGCTAGGTAAAGCTCTAGGCAGTTAAGAGTTCAGACTGGTGGGAGCAGTCAGTCACATCCTTACATAATGAGAGCACCACGCAGGGCATCATCAAGCGGACGGACTGTATTCTTAATCTTCCTCACGTTAGGACCTGCTAATGCAGTAAGTATGCAGCCTAAAAAGTGAAAAAATAGCGTTCCTGCATTCGGGCAATCTAACAGCGTACTATACCCTTATCATGGACGAATGGACATAGACAGGAGAACACACACATGCAATTATTCTCCCGCTTGCCCTTCATGTGCCAGTTCACTGTCCAGCACGCTTAGCCACCTGATGTTGCGATTAGGTCCGTGCAACTGGCGTGGCCTAAGTCTACGTGTAGTAGTGCCGTCACACTCCACACATCTGTGTCAGTTGTTAACAGATGCGTGGACTATACACGGCCCAGTTTTTGAGTATCTATCAATGCCGTTCTCTCCACTGTCTCATATCGGCCCAGTTATGCACTCATTGAGAAAACCATCTTTATATGTATCCGCATTTTGTACGAGGTGTGCTTTCGCTTTCCATTCTCCCATATTATTCTTTAAAGGAATAGAAGCATACGTATTGTTTC